TTGGTTCGCGATTCAGCCGCCTGTCCTGGTCATGCAAGGCAACACCGTGAGGTTGACACCACGCCGGTCAAATGAAGGTCAATGCTGCCCGCCAGGCATAGGAACGCAATAAGATGTATCGACAAGCATCCGACAATAGTCCTTCCGCCAACTCGACCCTCTTAAAATGTGAGAGCTGAGCGTATGAATGCTTCAGCTGCGCGTGACGAAATCGCGGGCAGGAATGGAGGCCCTCATTATCGATCACCAGACTCAGAAGCTGGATATACCGGCTCATCCAAGGAACGATCGATCTCCGCGTACCGAAGGTATACCCCTCGCAGTCCGTGGCAGGTGTTATAACAGACTGTGCAAAGCGGCTCGGTCCGATTTCGAAGCCTGATCTATGTTAACAGAGGGATCTCGACCTCGTCCTACCGACAGATCCCATAGACCTGACGACAGTCGAGATCTGTGCGGCCGACTCCCAGATCCTTCTGGTTGAGTCTACCTTCTGCCAGTGTCGCTTCCTGCTTTGGACGAGGCGTCGGCAGATTCGCGTAGCTCGCCTTTGGGACACCATTCAACCTCACTTGCTCGGCAAAGATTATTTCTTCCCCCCAGAACATGTCAGTCATGAATCAACCCTTTCAATCTCCTAGCTAACGACTAGCGGTGTGGAATGAACCGGAAGAACGATACCAGCGCATAGAGCTGGCCACGTCTTGCGAGCTGTTCGCCCAGCTTTGCGAGACCGCTGCTGCCTGGTTCACCAGCCCACGAAAATCGTCGATCTAGTGCGGTTGCTAGTGCACTGCTTGGATGCTATTGCTCCGGGATCCGCCGCCGACAGAGCACACATCGCCATCCTATTAACGCAGATCGGACTGAAATACACTCCTCGTGGATGCCATCCAGAACGACGAAGACCCAGTCAATCCCACGACCATTGAAAACCGTCTCCCATTGTCGAGTGGACGGTGTAGCGGAGACAGTGTAGCGGAAGCACGTTGCCGCGCTCACGCAAGGAGCACCAGGAGCATGAACCAACAACTCAATCAACATGGTTCAGAAGACCCCAAGAAAATGCAACTACCGCAAGGGACGAGGCCATGTGGCTGACCTATGCTAAAGAAACAGCGGGAACCGCAACTGGCCAGGGACCATGCCCTGAAGGCGGAATAGAGTGTTTCCGGCTCACTAAGAAATAAGCTGCATACCATCAAGCCAGCTGGAAGAACGGCAGGGCCCGCTGACTTCCGAGAGACCGAGGGTCACTGCCATAAGATGAGGGTGAGAGTGGTGACCATTACCACCCCCTCCTCCCAAAAAACCCAAACCAACACGCAACCCCCCTAGACGCCGGATTCAGCCGCCAGCAACGAGTAACTAGCCGGCCTTAATATTGCCGCGACTCCACAGCATCTAAAAGCACCACTCAACCTCCGGTACCACTGACGTATAATTCGCGAGAGCGTACTCTAAGAAACAATGTGGTGCTGAGAGACAGTGACAAAAGCAATGTCAATACCAATCAGCTTGAAGTTGGTACTCCCGCTTGTCAATTGCAGCGAAGGCTGCCTTAGCTTAGACTGCCAAGCCATCACGGTCTGGGCGTCCGCCGCAACCACCGCCGCCGCCATCAAAGCCGTCTGAGTACCGGCCATACTTGCCGCCAAAGCCAGCCGCAATACGCCGACTAATAGCCTTGGAGACGCCAGCACCAATTTTGATGTCTAGCTCCCCGACTACCCCGACAACCATTCCCGACTTAATAGGGCGACCTCTGCTACCACCCTACTTCGCCGTAAGCAGCCATTTGCGATCCGCATCGGTAAGACGCTCGATTAGGATCACGCTGATACCAGTCTGATAGTCGCTGCAGTCACGCGTGCCGAAACGAACGCCCCACCGGTGCGAAGTTTTATCTCGACTGAAAAGAACGACTCTATTCCTTCGTGAGCGCTCACCGTATCCTAGCGGCTAGTCATCTTAATAAAAGCATGACGCTTATCCATGTTGACCATACAGGTCTGAACGACGCCGAACTTGTTGAAGAGCGAACGGAGATAAGCATCGAAGGAGATGCCGCTGACAAAGAGGGTACAGCTCAGAACCTTAATGCTTCCCAATTCTCTTCGCTAACACGAAAGCTTATAGAATAGCTTAGAGGTCATGTGCGTTGGGTGGTCCGAGCGTTCGAAGGTCTGTGGTTCTCTCTAGCAAGTTCCTTTTACGAAGAGTCACGCAGATTGAATTCATCCTCTTCATTCAACCATTGCGAAGACTTATACTGATTCCATGGCACCTATAGATTACTCATAGGACAACTTAGACACGGATTCCGAGCTAGAGATGTTGTCTCCACAAGCCCCTGCGCCAAAAGCAACCCCGCCCCTACTCCTGCCTCATTGCACTCCTCCTCATCCACTTCGATGGCAACTAACGGCGCTTCAGGACCTATTCAAGCTGTCGTCGTCCGGTGCGAGGCCGAGCAAATCAAAGATCCGCCTTAGTCCGCCACCAGAATCCCCGCAAATCATAACGTTTTCTCGCAGACTGTTCCTCACGTCCCAGGGCTTATCGAAGTCCCGCTGGTTCTCTATCAAGTAGGCACTCGGTCCGCTAACCGTGCTAACCTCGACAACCAGATCGCTACGTACCTCAATATCAACCCCGACTCGGGCTTCGCGCCTCCGATGTGGCAGTCATATATCGGCACCATCGTAGTCGCGCGCAAGGACAGGAAGCCGTTACTACTATAGTATCTTGAGGGCGTGTAGATGTACTGCGACCACATTCTGGACCTCTTCGGTGAGGGAGGAGGTACGCCGAGATGGCTGTATAATCGGCAGGCCTTTGAAATGTGGTGGTTAGGTTATTGCGAGGAACAGAAGGAGTTTCGGCCGGGAAATTGTGGGGAGGATGATCCTGATGATTGGCAGGCGGTAAGGTCGCCGCCATATACGATCCAAGACCCTAAGATACGGTTCGGTTTGCGTTCTGAATCACAAAACTGTTGTGTCTCGCTGTCGCTTGTCCACTAAGGCTCGTCGAAATAGTACCGGGTTAGACTTCTAAGACAGAGGACTGCATGGGTAAATGAGTGTCAGTTCTGGGTGCTGCAAGGTCGCTAAGGTCGTCGGCGTTGGCGTGATTTCAGACATCCGAATAGGGCAAAGGTCAAACTATCTTCAGGATGATCTGTCTCATGTTTCTATGTATCGCGAACCCCACTCTCATATAACGGCCTAGTTTCTGCCGCCAGGTTCCTGAGTCTCTACATACCATCAACTATGGTCTGATCTGGCTTGTTGCTGATTAAAACTTAGTGTCGTATAGGACTGAGAAACTTGATGCCTCCAAGCGTCTTGAGCCTCCACAGCTGGCACAGCCGCCCCCTTTGCGCACCCCCACCTCCAAAAGATCGAATATTCATATTCACGACTCCAGAAGAACCTCCGATAGACGTGTACCAACAACTACTGCAGATAGTGATTGATATGTTATTTTGGGGGGACGAGAAATACTTGCAACGACCGCCTGTGAGGTCTACAACCGAGCGGGAGAGCTTAGCGGACAGAGAATATCTCTACGGCTAGTCTCAAAGAGGCCTGGAACAGCTACTATCGCACAATTCAACACTCAAAACTGGCACGTTGAGAGGCCTTCTTAAGCGGACCTATAGACCGTCCAGATAAATCTACCGCAGAGGATAAAGCTCGGTGCTGGCTCGCATAAGACCTCACCAAGTCTAAAACCATAGCCACTACGCCAACTCTATAGCGACCCGAGGGTGAGCTAGCCATACCCTTCAGCAAAAGGGCCTTAGGTCAAGAAATAGCCTTCCCACCAGCCCCAGGGGTCAATAAAGCTATCGAGGTCCCTCAAAGGATCTGGCTCACCCAATTAGACGAGAATGTGGTCAGAAGGGCCTTTTTCATCAAGCCATCCAAAAAGCCACGGGAATCGATAGGCTAAGCTTCCAAGCCCTCCAGCTCCTATGTGAGTGGAATCGCCCCCGGATAGTAGCCTTAGCTCATCAGTGCTTCCGGCTAGGTATTCACTCGCGAGCATGGAAGACAGCCCAGGGAATTCTCCTAAGAAAGCCGAATAAACCTGACTACCTAAACAAGGCCTAGCGGGAAATCAGCCTGCTGAACTGCCTTCGGAAAGTAAGTTGCAGAGGTCATCCCCAACCACTGTGAGACGACAAGCAGCTTGCACCCCGGACAACGGGTTGCCGCAAACGTCGAAGCGCGATTGACGCAGTTGTATACCTAATCCAGAGCACATGTGAAGCCTGGAGAAGAAAGCAGCTTATGGAAGCCCTATTCAAGGACGACAAGGGAGCAATTGACCAAGTCAGGAGCAATTGACCACGTCAATAGGAGACTGGTGATTCGCTTGAGGGAGCTGGGTCCAGATGGGGTCCTAATTCGATGGGTACGGTCATTTCTGACTGACCGGGTGTCCAATTAAACATAGACAACCCTAAATGACTAGCCCGCCGCGTTAATTCGGGAGTTCCCCAAGGATCCCAGTTTCCCATATCTTATTCCTAATCTACTTCTGATGTCATAGAAAGGTCGGTTTCAGAAGCTCAACAGCTATCTTTCGCGCATGATATAGGCCTACTAGCCCTAGGATGTTCGGTGGAAGATGTCTGTGGGTAAACTGCAGGAAGCAGCCAAGGTAGCTATGCAATTATGAAGCGGTCGAATAATCGGTATCTCTTGGAAAAGCGCAGAGTGTAATGGAACACCAGTGGGGGTAATGGTCTTCACATTGGCGATCACCTGGTTTTTTGAATAGGGGGCGTGTCACATGATCAGACCTCCATCTGGAGGTTTTTCCGGGTCTTTTCCTTTTCTCTTCAGACTCGGCCTCCGTCGATCTTCAGCACTCAAATCGATATCCTTTCTTTTTGAACTGGCTACCTGGTCATAAATGCGACAAAACCAACTACACATTTTATTGGGCACGCCACCACGACGGGCACTGGGCAGATAACATACGCGATGAGCACCCGCGACGGTTATGACGATTCCCCGCTTGATGAGGAAATCCGCCAATTCAGCAATAACCTGGAAGGGATACGGAAGCGCAGACGGCTCGTAGCGCTGCAGACACAGATCGCGGAGGAGGGGAGATGGCTCCAAGAAGCACAGGAACGCCTTGACAAGGCTCGACAAAGTGTGGGCCCCGATGCTTCTGGTTCGACTAGTCTCCAATCGCCAGTGGGCTCTAAATCACCTATCATCTCGAAGTCGCCAGTGTTCTCTATTGCCCCTGGCCAAGACACCAGCAGTGCTGTGGATGCCTTAATTAAATCTGTTCTGGATCCTATAGGCAATAATATGCCGCCTGTTAATAGCAGCCCGCCTACAACTGACCAACCGCGGATGGTCAACGGGGACGTGAAACTAGTGTCAACAGCTTCGGTGAGGCGGGGAAAGGAGGCCGCTCCTGCATCTGCCCCATCGGAATACTCTCCCGACGCAGAGGGGGCGAGTAACGAAGGAAAGGATAAGGTTTCATCCGAAAACGGACACGAAGCAGAGAAATTAACAGACGCAGTTCCTTCTCAGCGACGACTAATCGCGCAACCCACTTCGCCGCGGACACATACCCAAACTACACCAGCGCGTCGAATCCCAGCCACTCCGCCAAGTCCGTCAGGTCTTGATTTTGGATCCTACCGGGGTAGAAACTGGAAGGAGTGGGTACAATATGTCAACGCCCTGGAAGCCCATTTCGCCCGGTACCCCAGCTACTACACGGAGGCTCGCAAAGTGGAGCTCGGGGCAAAATACATCGGCCACAACCTGATGAATCAGTGGCACGATCATATCATGAGGCCTGGAAATACGTCATGGAACTCATACTGCACGTTCCTGGCTCAACAGCTCTCACGCCGGGCGAGTCGCGAGCAAGCGAGTTTTGGAATTACAACCGCTGAACAGAAAACTGCTCAACCTGTGACGCGTTTTGCCTTCTGGCTAATCCAGTGGGCCCCTGTCCTTCCCGAAGTCAGCACTAAGGAGTTTATGGTCTATCTGCTGAGAGGGGCCCCTTCCCGAAATTCGTGACCGCACGCAAAAGTCATACACGCAGTTTTCGGATTATGCTTTGTTTACTGCGTATCTGCAGGAAGTTGAAAACTCCATCCCGACCCGAGCGAAAGTCCTCGGACGACGGAAGAATTGTAGCGTCTCAAATGACGAGCATTTCCTCCCAACGGATAATTACGAACACAACCAAAAAGACAGTCCGCCATCACAACCGCCAACACAGCCCGCGCAGCAAACTAGGGCTTTGCCTCCAGCAGAGCCGCGTAGCAAACTGGAATATCGACCGTCACCCGACGCGCCTGACTTGCCGTTCTACTCGGCACGCAGCTGGAGGCAATGTAAGACCTTCATGTCCAAATTGCAAGACCACTTCCACAAGTGCGGAGACCAGTGCAAGGACTTTCGCAAGATCGAGATCGCCAGGGCCAATCTCTCCCGTGCATTGCTTGAAAGATGGGACGAGTATGCCGCCTGCCTTAAAAACTGTTACCTGGTTCGCATTCTGCGTTTTCCTCGTCGACCAAATCCCTTCTGAAGGGGATGGCAACTTCAAGTACTCCAACACTTATCAAAGGCCTAACCAGTCCGTGTACACCTTTGCGCTCGAGCTACTTCGTTGGGCCCCGGACAACTTTGGTGCGAAGCACAATCGCCTCCGGCACCTATGGGACCGAATCCTCCCAGAACTCCGATCAAGGGCCCACAAAACCTGGAAGGACTTTGACGAGTTCCATGTCTTTGTTGCTTATCTGCAGCAGGTCCAGGACCCTTTTTCAATCCGGTAACAGAGAGCAGATCATAGCTACCTCCCCCCACGAAAGCGTTTGCGCATCGATGGGCCACTAGAGCACGAAAACTTGGACTCCTCCTCTATTGGAGACTCGAGACTTGTACGGAGTTGAGGATTGCACAGTGGCCTTGTGAGTGGTGTTCTTCATTCTTATTTCCTCTATGTAAATATAGACAGGCAAGACACAAGCGTTAATTGTTATGAAATCCAAATCAGATTCATTCCGTTTCGTTTCCGTTTCATTTCTACCCACCATGTTGTAGCGGAATCCTGCCCAGGCTCAGTTAGTTCACCGCTACAGCATCCTTGAAATCCCCGTGGATAGGGTTTCGCGAGAGAACTTCCTCATAGTGTTCCTTACTGGCATAGCATCCAGTGCTTGGTCGAACCCTTACCATCCACACAGCCCCGGCACTGCGCACCCTTCGGCATCCCCCCAGATCTGGCGGTAATTCATGCTCTTCGAATGGGAACGCTTGCCTTCGTGGAAGTTATGCCCGATGACAGCTGCTAGCTGGACGGCGCCGCCGGCACAGCCCTAAGACGTCTAAGCTCGGGGTGCCGTTCCTTACACCTTCCCGTGGTAGATCTTGACTTCTTCGTAGACGTCATAGGCGCGATCATCCACGGGCGTAGTAGTAGGAAACGGAGCCCGGTTTCGCGGCAGTTACGGGAACCATGACTTGATCACACTTGCAAGGGTGGGCGATCAGAATCTCACGGTAGAGCTTCCCACATGAAGTCCTTGGTGTGAATCCAATTCAGTGTCTGCACGGAGGAGCGGAGGGACCCGATTGTTCCCTCCAGCAGGTTTAAATGAAGCGATGGGTCGCTTTTATCTGCCGAGCACAGGGTGGAACGACGAGAAGAATTGAGCAGGGCCGTTTCGGGCTCATGAGGCACCCTCGCACTTGAGCTTTTGAACGACAGACAACGTGGCCCACTTCAAGGGGGCGCGAGTGCAGAGCATCCTGCAACCAACGTGCCACAAAGGGGAAGTCCGGTCATCTTCTATCATTAAGTCTCGATGTTGATCTAAAGAGAAATTGTCCGCCCCGACCATGGATAGAAAGATAGGATTTTCGGGCTATAATCACTCTAGGCCAAGCAAGAGTTTGGCTCGACCTTTCTCGCTATCTCAGTAGCCTTGTTCTTTCTCGCCTTTCGTGTTGGCCGAAAGGGACTCAGATTTCATTACAAAGATGAGGTTCTCACGGAGCACCAACCGAAGGTGTTGTAGTAGAACTACAAGCCTGGCAAGGGCACAGAGCCAGACGCTCCCCGCCAACGGGACTGGGCCCAGATAACCCCTGTGAGACTCAAAGTCGATACCTAAAGAGTCCAGACTGCATGGCAGTATACGTCGATAAACGAATACATGGTCCGCCACCCCGGTAATTGCACCCGGGTTACGGAATAGCCCTAGCTGTGGAAGAGAATACGTTATCGCGCCCATGATAACGATAGGTGACATGAAGGGAGGAAGGGTTGCCTTGAGTAGAGCAGAACAGGAAAGGCGACAGCGCTCAAAATTTTATTACTACAGCCCGACGAGTCGTTGGCGCAAAATGAAATTGTCGCTATTCGCATCTCTTCAAACAATCACCTGCATGGTCATCGATATCTAGCAACATATCAAGTGTCTTCAGAATACTATTATACATTAAACTAGTCCAAATTAAATCACAAGAAATGGAACATAAGGAAGGTCATCTTAGGAGCGTAACCTCTGCTCTTCTGGGAAAATCAGTTTCCTCCACTCAGTCCACGTTCGTTCGTTGAGACCTATACCAAGTGTGAGAGATGGCAATTTCTGTGTCGCATGAGGGAAAAAATAAATACCGTAGATAACAGCATCTGCTAGTCCCTGAATAGAAATGCATGACTGTTGGTTCCGCATTCGTCAGTCTGGCCTGTAGCTGCATTGCGAAGGAAACCGATGATACCTTGTCTATGCAATTGATAACAAGTGAGGCAGATTTGCCTGTCGTCCCTTGATAGATACGAATGGCGGTAGGAATGGTCCAGATCAACATGTAAATTACCGGGTACATCATCATCCGTACGGAAACCTAACAAAGTATTAGACTCCAAAGTTTTTAAAGTATGATTAGACTGGTGTCTCGGCACTGACCTTCTTCAATTTCGACGACTGAGGATGTCGCTGAACAGTCGCTGTCGCCATTTTCGACTCTGAAGTATGAGCATATGATCCTGACTGCACATCGGTGTGCTCCGAATTGTTTTGGCGACCAATTCGGTAACCAGATAATATAATCGTTGTGTCATGCTCTGAGCTTTCCAACAGTCTTTGGGTTCGGAGGAGGATGTAGCTGAGGCGGAGGTAGAGTGCGATGATCACAAACACGATGATCCATCGTGGGACAAAATTAACCAGTAACCGTGTGCGATCGCTGGCGAACCAACACCCTATGATTTATCGGACATGTTAGAGGGATGAGAGGAGACAGTAAGAGGGAAAGAAGCTCACACGCTCCAATGTTCTGATAGCCCACCAATACCAGGCCAAGTACGGCCCAGGTAGTAGACAACACCCAGGGCCACAAACACACAATAAGAGGATGGGATTGCATGGTGTCAAAGAAACGTCGATGGTTTACCAGAATGCTGTAGGTGCATATCGCGATGTTCAAGACCCAGTAGTCGGCTATGGATCCTCACCGTTAGCGAGATGTACATAGCTCAATTGGGAGGAGCATGTAGCATGGATGAAGGATGTACTTTGTATCACAAAGACCTGCGTCATAAAGCTGTTGAAACTGCAGAAGCCCTGTAGAGGCTCCGACCAGATTTTTCTGCCAGAGATGTTCATGCTGGTCGATACGATGAAGTTCAGGGCCATCAGAAAATCGCTTATACCAAGGCCTATTTCTGATGGTTCAGTACAGAAGCAACCACAAGAAAGCAGACTGTACAAGGCTTACTGACCCAGGATCAACTGATGACGAAAGGTTCGTAGTGATGGGATAAGCTTTTAATCCAGCCACAAATCAGTGAATTATTCCTCAAGGATGTCACATTCGCACACGAGAGATTCCCAACAATAAAGCTTATTATAATCCATGCTGCACCAAGCGCAGATAAAATGGAGATAACCAGTATGATAACCGACAAAATCTCCTCCCCCGTTATTGAATTCGGCGCTGATAGCGCTGGCATTGTTGCTGGAAGGTATTCACCAAAAAGTCAAGGGATGTGGAAAATGATGTTGATTGAATTCTCATACTAGATGTCTTAAGGATTCTCATTTACATTATAAAGCAGGAAAGAGGTGTTGCAGTGTATGTATTTGTTTTTTGGTTATCAGTCGGAAGAGCGACCATATACATGGAAGGATCCGAGGATGTTGCATCCTTATCTCCACGCTAGCAACACACGGTCCATGTTCTCCGCGGGCGACACCAAAACGCATGATATCGCCCTTGAACCAGCAAATCAAATCCTTCAAATGATGAAAGTGGAGCCAATAGATCAGTGGAAAATTCCAATCTTGTACCCGTCCCAGTCCAGATTGGTGAGATGTGCTGGAGGTAAGACTTTGAGGGTGCTTCTACGGCGGTGCGTAGCGGCCATTCTCCAGTGCATAATTCATAAGTAAATTTACCGGCAGAATATTGATTACGACTAAGTCCAAGCTCGTATGCACAGCCCAAGAAGGACGTTTCTCTACATGGAACTATGTACTTTCGAAGTAGCTACATAATCACTTAAGAGGGCTTATCAAATTCACGTTTACAATAATCTATCTAACTCATAAGGGCTTGGTTGTTGGGCAGGATTAAGGCTAGCTTGGGAGGGGGAAAGGGGGTGGAAAAGGGAAGAAATTATCCTTGGCGGAGGTAGGGAAAGCCTAGTATTAAGAGGAAGGAGAAGATCACATGACCAAAAATAGGGATCATCACGTGATTTTGCCTGAGGGGTAAGGCATTGTTAGGATTCTCCCTTCCCATTCGGGTTAGCGCCCGACGTAGTCAGCTGTATATTAGGAGTTAGTCGCCCAATAGGAACGCAGTGTGCTTCCCGACTCTTACAGGTTATGGCCCTATATTGACAATTCCTTTGTGCTATTTTGCAATTTTTGAGGGATTACCAGTCTGTTCAATAGATCTGAATCACCCTGTCTTAGACCTCGGTTTGACGGCAACAATTGAATGTTTACGCCGCAGTCATGATGACCCGAGGAAGGCAGTCTCAGGGGCGTAAGCCCCAACAAACAGACATACCCCCTGAGGGTGATGAAGTAGACCTTGGTGATGACAGGAATCCATCCACTTCTCCGAGGCGTGAGACGCCTGATGCAGATATCAAGGCGATGTTGACACAATTGACTGCTAGTGTTTCAGCTCTTATGCAGAACCAGGCAGAACAGGGTCGCAGACTCGACGCATTGTCCCAATTGGCACCTCGAGACGCCCCTGAACCAATTTATCCTTCACTGAGTGCGGAGGACCGAACGGACGATCCCAACCCGCGGATCGACGATTTACAGACCCCGATCGCAGTCGACCGGGAAGAAGCTCTCATCGAGAGAGAGCTACAGAAGCTACGGCGTAGCATCAAAGACCTTTGGGAGCACAAACCCACGACCCTCACCATGCACAACTTCACTGCGTGGAAGACGAATACTCTCAGTGATGCGTCTTTAATTGACATTCACGATGTCTCTTCTTACAGCATTTTGTTTAAGGGACAACAACATCCTCCGAACTCCTACTCTAGATTGCAGCGAGCAATCTGGACCGCGATCAACGATGCCTTACACGCCCGAATCCTCAAATCCCTTAGTGTGGAAATACGGAAGATCATGCCACCGCAACGGACCAAGAATGCCGCGGCCTTATGGGAATCCGTGGTGACTGGTTTTGGCATCACGAAAGCCCAAGAACGCTATAATCTTCTTCGCGACGTGTGTGCGTTGAAGCTTGACGGATCGGATTACATGTCCCACCAAGCCCAGTGGCTGACCTACATGGCGGCGCTGGACGACCTTGATGTCACAGTCGATGACATTAAGCATGATTTGTTTATCTTGAGCCTTGGGAACTGGCAGTCACAGTTCATCAAGACGAGGCTAGACGAGTTCTTTGCGTCCGGAGGAAATGGAGAACCGATTGTCAACCTAGACATCAGACAATTGATGCGAGCGCTTCAGTATCGTGCTATCACGCAGGGACTGAAGAAGAAAGACCCGGTCTCCACCCCGAAGGGATCGACATCCACATCGAATTCTGAAAGGCCGAAATCGTTGGAGAAATCGGACTCTGACCGACCTTCGAAGTCGCGCTGCGACTACTGTCAGGCTCCGAAAGCGATACATGATGCTTCTCGCTGCTGGTCTAAGAACCCTGAGAAGGCGCCAATGCACTGGTTGAAAGACAACGCTGATTTGGTCCGCCGAATACGTGGGCGCAACGGGGATCCAATTCCTGATATTCCTGGCCTTATAGTTGAGCCGCAGGCACAAGCCAAGGCTGCAATTTCCAGTAGCAACAATAACGGTCGCCAGTCTACTGATTGGTATTTCGACACGTGCGCAAGTCGTCATGTAGTATCAGACCGAGAACTTTTTACCTCCTATGCTCCGCTCAAGAGCAGTGAGGGAATCGGATCAATCTGGGGGGACAAGAAACGTGCCATTGGTGTTGGAACAGTCAATATGAAGCTAAATGGCCTTACTGTCACTCTAAAAGACGTCCGCCATATTCCTGGAGCAGATTCCAACCTTGTGTCCGAGGCGCTTCTGCATGATCAGGGATTCATTATTCACAAGAATTCAACACCTCCATTCCACTACGTCTTGAAGGACCCATCGAACCAGCGATTCTTTGCCGCTCGAAACTCGAGCGATGTTTACACATTCACCGCCGATGAACCATTCGAGTTCTCCACTCAGGCCTTCGTTACAATAGCGAACCCCGCTGATTCACATTTGACCATTGATGAACCTATTCCGACAGCTGGCGAACAGCAGCTGGTCGCTTATTTCAGCTCTAATGCAAAGAGCAACGTCGAGGCTAAGCCATCTGATGGAGATGAGCATGTTTCAAAAGCCTCGATCGATATCAAATCTGCTTTCCCGAAGACTCTTTGGGAATGGCATGTCACGCTTGGACATCTCAATTACCGAGATGTACTCTACCTTGCCAACCGTCCAGGCAGTGGAGTGAAAATCACAGGCGACAAGGCCCAACCGCCTTGCCAGGTATGCCTCCAAGCAAACATAACCCGACGATACAGTCGTCGGCAGGCCACGAGGGCCACACGGCCATTAATGCGCATCCACGTTGACATCGTGGGTGGCGGGGACGTTTTCTCTGACGATGATGACGCATCACAAGCGGCAAATCTGCAGTCCCGGCATGGCTATAGATATTTCCTCCTGATCACGGACGATGCGACGCGATTCCGATGGATCTACGGTCTAAAGTCCCGAGACCAGTGCGAAATTGCTACACGTCTGCGGTATTGGTGTCAGCACATCAGCAATCTTGGTTTCAAAACACCTGCTTTTCTGCGATCTGACAACGAATTCGGATCTGGAGAATTACAATCAATGATGACAGAATGGGGATGCCAGTGGGAGCCATCGAACCCTTATTCTGCGTGGCAGAATGGCACCGCGGAACGGGCCAATCGGGTGGTATTAGAGAAGGCGCGCGCGATATGGATAGCATCAGGTCTCCCAATGACCTTCTGGTTTCACGCGCTAGTCGCTGCAGTTTTCCTTGCTAATATATCCCCGACGAGCACTCCTCTCTACAATAACCCCACACCTGGTGGAACGACGATCGATGAGAGCATCCAGCCACAGGACACTCGGATCCCGATCGAAGCGATCTCTAAAATCCCGGCTGATTTGAGTTACCTACTTCCTTTCGGTTCGAGCGTTTTTTACCACCTCCATGGCACTAACGAGCCGACCGGGAAGCTAGAACCTCGAGGGAAAATGGGACGCGTAGTCGGATACAACGGCGCCTCGATCTACACCGTATGGGATCCAGACACTGGCCGTATCTTCAACACTGGAGATATTCGGCCGACAGGCGCAGCCATACAAACCCTGCTTCAAGGGGGGGAGCAAGTGGCAAGAGAGACGCCTGATTTGATAAGCTCCGAGGAGCTTATGGACCCAATCACTGACGATAATTGGATACGACCTGCGAAAGACCTCAAGGCATTCGCAGCCATGACCAAAATATTTCGGTCGGCAGCCGATGCGCCAAGAAGCTTCAAGGAAGCCATGGAAGGCACCGATCGGGAGCTTTGGAAAGCAGCGTGCCGCAAGGAAGTCGACGACCTGCACACACGAAACACTTGGGAACTGGTTCGCACTGGAGACGTCCCAATTGGACTGCGTCCTATCCCTGGCAAGTGGGTATTCACGAAGAAGCAGGGAGTCGACGGCACCACGCGATATAAAGCACGGTGGGTAATCCGGGGAAATATTTCCAACGGACATCAATCTCTCTGGGGAGAGACAGGGGCGCCGGTCGTCATGGCATCAACAAAATTGGTGTTATTCGCTGCCGCCGCACATTTTGGATGGCATATAGCTCAAGCTGATGCTATCACAGCATTCCTGAATGGGAAGCTACCAAATTCAGTTTACATGCGCCAACCGTATGGATTCGAGCAGGGCGAGAAAGGCACTCTCGTCTGCAAGCTCAAACAGGCCCTCTATGGCCTCATTCCCGCAGCCCGGATTTGGTACGACACCCTCCGGGAGAAACTCGAAGCAATTGGATTCCGAGTCAGCCCTTATGATGCAGGACTATTCATCCACAAGGCAAAACCGAGTCTATATGTTACTGCACATGTCGACGATTTCGGGATCATCGGAGCCGATCGCACCGAGATACAATGGGTCCTTGCCGAGATGGGAAAACAGTTCCCTATTAAGGACCTTGGCCAAATGGAGCACTACCTTGGGCTTCGCGTTGAACAAACAGAAGCAGGCATCAAGCTGTCACAGCCTGACTTCATCGACAATCTTTTAGAGGACACAGGAATGACGGATTGCTATCCTGTGTCCACTCCGGTTGAACCGGGTCTGGTCATTGATGATTTGTACGACCCGAGTATCGACAAGAGACAATATCAGAGCGTAACGGGATCTTTACAGTGGCTTGCATCCCATACGCGACCTGAAATCGCAAGAGTTGCGACATTGTTAGCCCAGTTCAACACTGTGCCAACTCAGAAGACTCTATCCACACAACGAAGAGTTCTTCGGTATTTGAAAGGTTCCAAACAACTTGGGATACTGTTTAGACTGGGTAACGGCGCGCTGCCTAGACCAGTCCTATACACCGATGCAGACTGGGGCGGTCCCCTCACACCTGGGCGCCGTTCTTGTAGCGGGTACGTCATGCTTCTGGCTGGTGGCCCGATTTCATGGCGATCTCACCTCCAGACCTCTGTAGCTTTGAGCTCCAACGAGGCAGAATACATGGCTGCTTCTGATGCTGCGAGGGAGGTCGAATGGCTTGCTAGGTTGGTGGCAGATATGGGTTTGTATGCAGCGGATGCCACTCCCATCACCTTTTACATGGACAACAAGGGTGCCCATGATCTTGTTCGAACGTCATTTGTTTCTAGGCGTTCCAAGCACATTGATATTCGATATCATTATGTCCGCGACATTGCCGCCAGGGGTATCATTAGCCCAACTCCAATCGGCACAAGGGACATGGCAGCTGATGGCTTCACGAAGCCGCTGGCTGAGGAACCGTTCAGACGATTCAGGAACCAGATTGGGGTCTTCTGATTGGACGGATCGAAACGCTCGCGTTCTGGATTGGGATGTTTTGCTTCAGTCTTTCTGCTTCCTGTGTCGGTTCGAGGGGGGTGTTAGGATTCTCCCTTCCCATTCGGGTTAGCGCCCGACGTAGTCAGCTGTATATTAGGAGTTAGTCGCCCAATAGGAACGCAGTGTGCTTCCCGACTCTTACAGGCATTAGTAGAGGGGGCGGTCCCAGAGGCGGTCAATCTTTCCATGATTTAGCACCAATCTTGCTTATTAATTATGCACTGGAGAATGGCCGCTACGCACCGCCGTAGTGCTTCCTTCACCAGAAATGTACTGGTGATCTCGGTCCGACCAGTTGATTGGTTGGTCGTCCAGTATTTCGACTGTCTCTAGAGCAATGTCGATACTCTGGCCACAAAGCCTTAATTGATCCCATCGCCAGACCAACTCCTCCGTCTTAGAGTAAATAAACGGAAACCGAAGGACCGATGGAGATGAAATCTCTGGCTGGACCGTCTGAGTTAAGCTTTGAAAATCAGCATTTGTGTTTACTACCCTATGCTGTAAGTGACACACCTCTTGTATAGGCTATGGAATTGCCACCAAATCCGCTCAGAGGTTTCTTCAGTCATCAACATCACCGGCGCTTTGGATTGGAACGGATGATTGTTGACCTTCAAAAAGCTCTTGACGGCTCTTACCGAGAGTGAAGTTGGGAAAAAAGAACCGTGTTCTTTCTAAAGCAAGAGCATCTTTGCCATTGAATACAATATAAGCTCTGGGCTGTGTTATGTGCATGCAGGGCTTGGCTCATAGTGAATATAAAGGTCTCACTGTTTCTGAACAGACAAGCTGAAATCAACCTGTTGAACCAAAGGTGGCAGATTTCAACATTTGTGCCCAGCCCCATCCCACTTGCACTTCACGGGTCTCATGGATAGAATTTTCCAAAGATAGGAGCAGCTGCTATTTGCAGGTACGCACGCCATTTCATTATGCTGTCTTGTCTCCTCCAGAGCTGACGACAGCTTACCGACGATCCTTTACTCTCTATCTCTCTCTTTTGAATCAAAAGTCCTAAGCCCATAGGAGACAATAATTCAACCTGGATCGTTTTTGGCCTCTTATAAAGTATTTATAGCTACATGACCAGGCAACTCTGTGGGGTACAGGAGGACAAGATATTTACCCATTATCCCGGCTGCAAACCCCGAAAAAGGTCAAAGCAACGCCTGAATCCAGTTCACTTTCAATAGGATCTGGTTTGATTATCTCCGTCATGAATATAGATATCTTCCTGAAATGAGAAAAGGTAGAGCCACCTCATATTACTCTGATTCTTTTGAAATTGGGTGGCCCACTTTGACACTGGAAAGCCCCTTCACTTGATCTATGCTGGCCTCAGTAACGAAGCCACATACCGTTCTCCTAGCCTCATGGATATGAATCTTCCCAGGACTGCCAAAGAACCAAATACTGCGTCACCAGAACTCCGTTTCGATTGATGACGCGTTGTGCGATGGCACTTATGGGAAATTTCTTACCAACCTGTTCCGAATGTTAAATTACCCACAATCATTCAAAATTGAAGTCACCTCGCTGGCTCTACTTACCCCAGCGGCATCGTCATATTCCGAATTTGGTTCCTCGAGCTCACTGTCATCAGAGGAGACTGATGAACCTTCCGTGTAGACCAGGGATTCGCCATCGGAAACCACGAAATCGCGATCTTCGCTGATTTCTGTGTTGTCGTCTTCTGAAGATGCTAAGAAAGAGCTCTCTGAGCCTACACTTTCAGATTCGTAGTAGGATGACAAAACTTCAAAGATGTCGGTCGGCTCTTGAGTCATTATTGCTGTCGAGGGAATTCTTGATGATAACTTCTTAGACTGGAATGAGAAGCTCGTCCGTTTCCCAGGATATCACCACGCTTCAAGTACTAAATTGATCCAATTTAACACCCCACAATCACCTTCCGGTTTCCTTAAATTGTTCAGTTGTCACAATCACTGAATAGAAACGGTTATTAACGTTGAATACGCAAATACACGCTTGGGTATCGAGAGTGACGGGCTTCAACAGTGACAAACGGATCACCAAAACACCTTGCTAGGCTCTGATCTACAGAAAAAAATTTCATTGACCGCAGGCTGGGGGCTGTTCAAAATGATTAGCCCCATCCACACTCAATATTTACTTCCCATGTCTCGAAAATCAATTGCCCTCTAACTGGGTAATTTATAAGTGGCTGATGGGTTCCAAATCATTCACTTCTTATTCTCTTTATACAGTACTCCACACAGACGAGATAAATCTTTCTCAGGCTTGCGACTCGATAATCATCTCCGCGCTTCATCTTTTTGGAGCAGCATACTTTTCAACTTTGGCTTCACAAACAACACTCGCATATCCAAAACAGACGAAACCAGATTCGAACATGACTGTTCCCTTCCTACTGTACTGCTTTGGAGCCATTGTTTGATGTGCTTCCTCTCTCTGGTCATAGAGCCAGCTGTGTCTTGAAGGCAGCCATGCTGCACTCAGAAGAGCGGTAGAATATAGAGGGGTTCTTGCTCTTATCTGGGGAAGCACTTTGTCTGTTATCATACTTTTCTTTGATACCGAACCATTACTGCAATCTTTATATCTGATTGCTTCTACCTAGATGTTCCTTGTGAGCATCACCGATCTTTATACCAGCTCTTTGGATACCGCAGCAATTGAGGCCCGGTTCCTATACCTGTGTGCGCGTTTTAGACTGCTATCTCTTGTTCCCGCTTTTCATACTTTGGTCATATCGGGAGAGAAAACTAGGCTTACGGTAGAGTTTCTTCATATGTCATTACAAAATGTTCTTAGTGCTGGCATTTACATAATATACAACTCGGGTACTTTTCAAATGCGGTTTTTACCCCGAATAGGCTTGGTCATAATGCACGTGGTCTTGCTCCAGAGCATTATTATGTACGCCGGTGTGATGGCGCCCGCTAGAGGTCTAGGTACACAGTTGAATACCGTCTAACCTATCGGGGAATATTGGGTCTTGGGTGAACAAAGTTTTCTGAAATAGGGAGAAGCTGTGAGAATTCGCGAAGCATATGAATTTCTATTGGAACTTATCTCAAAGTTTGTAGCTCTATCTTCAGACTGTTGCAAAAGCTCTGATAAAATTCATCACAAAATGGAAAAATATAGTGTTGCTCCTCTATATCGTGGTAGGTCAATGTGATCTTGGTGTTGATCTCTTCGCACTTGGAAACCCCAGTGCATACGAACTTTTATGTGCAAACCCGCCCTCAGCGTGCGTTTACAATTCACCAGAACCGGAATGAAGATGGCCACACATCACGCCTTGATTATATACGATACGGTTCTCTATTCCAAGTCTATATTTAAGGAACTTGGTAAAGGATAGATGATTATCGCTTTGGCGGGTAAGAGGAAAAGACTGTATTATTCAGCGGACATGTGAGACTCAATAGTGAACGATCAATAACTCGAGAATCATAACTATATCACCCACAGTGCGACTGCGATGATTCCTGTTCAAGGTCGAAATAGTATCAAACTTCCTTAAAGAACCATAGAGGAAGTTCATCTGCACACTGCCCGTGTTGACAGGAATGGGTAAATGGAGAGTATTCATTCAAAATACCGCGTTGTCTCAATTTTTCACCTTAATATGACTGGCCTGACACATCTTTAGGTTGCTAGATTCAACAGGCGAAACCTCTGGATTTCTGTTCCATGGCTCTCCTGTACTGCCTGCAGAGTGTCTCTAGCTGATCCTGGAAGTAACTCGATCGGAAATAGGATTTCAGCTCGCCTATATCAGATCATGTGTTTTGAATACACTGACGCGCTATTTCGTTCAGCCAATTTTTGGCTTGTTTCATCTGGGTCCTTGCATCATTTTGCCAGGGTGGGCCTGTTAACATCGCCTGAGAATTTGACTCAGAAGTGATGGTATGCCCTCCGTTATAGTATTGCGCACGTAATGTTGCTTCCGGATGGCGGAGATAATATGTATAGCATTCGTCCGGACAGATCAGTCGTCCGTCTGGTACTGTAATACTAAAATAGTGCTGGTTCAGTCCGTGCTGAAACAAATTCATGAATTCATGGTCATCGGGCAAATTCAGCGATTTCTGGTCACTGCCGATCGTGATAAGCATAGGGAAATACAATTGCCCTTGGCTTGGGTAAGTTGTCACACCTGGATCACCCTCAATAGCAGCGGTGGGTAGAGCCGTGAATGTCTCGACTGGGATGGCAGATCCCGGTGCATGTTCAATTCTTGATACTATGTTTCTGATATCTACATCTGCGTTTGGACGAACTACCTCTCGTGAGAAATTGTTGAGATCGATCGGGGCACTATGGACTGCTAGTCCTTAGTTGAATTCCTGGCCCTCTTCGATGAGATAAGAGAAAAATGCCTTGAACACGGACCTCCGTAGGAATCCTGCCGTTACTTAAGGAGTCGTCCAACTTTGTCGAAGAGATTCGGCGGATAGAGCATGACGGTCTGCCTCAACTGTATTGGAGAAGGGTTTTCCCGAGCGCTTCTCCACTTCAACGTCTTTTCCCAGGCCTATCTCGGGAAAATCACAGGCAACCGGGTCGGGAAGTCGGGTCCGAGGTACGAAGTCGAATCTAGTAGGAGGTCGAAAGCCTCTAGATTGAATAATTTAGCAGAAGTGGCCCTATATATGCATCCTGTCTGGAGGGCCGGGCTCCTCGAAAACTAGACTAGGAGTGGACTCCCTTGAAGCCTTAACAAGAGCTTTGCGACGTTGGTGATCTGTTAGCTTAAACCCGTATTGGAAGCTAAAGCGCCAGAATTCTAGTAAATCATATCCAAGCCTTTGCTGACTTATGGTATAAAGGACTGGCAAGGGTGTATCGAATAACTCACTAACCCTTTGATCAACGGTGAGTTGTCGGTGCGGATCAGATAGATAAAGCTGTTTTATGACGCTTTGGCCGACCTCGAGATAGGAACGATCTTTGAAGAACGTCTCCAGAGTTGGAATTAGGTAGTCGATTTCTTGTAACTATTACCAAAATTCTTGCCGCTGTGAAGGCGACAGGTTTGGAAACAGCTCAGCGCGATCCTTCTTCCCTTTTAAGAATCTATAATCGCGAGGAGAGACTTTCGGGGCCCGAGATTGGAGTAACTTCACCGTAGCTCCATCCATCAGAGGCAGGAGCTTATGCCGGTCGCCCGCAATTTTAAGAAATGTCTTGAGAATCAAGTCCCAATAACAAAGGATTGGCTGCAACGTAAGGAATTAGCCAAAGCTTTAGCACTTCTGGATAGCGACGTACCTCATCACAATGTATGGCTAGCAGCTTGTGTAAAAGACTAATACGCATTCCTCCCCATAGACCACCGATGATCAGCAAGGAATCAAGCTTCTGGGGAAATCGTGGATGCCTCAAGAATGCACGGAGGTATTTCCCTTTTTTACTGCCAGGTGTCGTCTCCAACATAGCCCACCAGTCCTTCGCAGCCCACTCATCGATTGGCCCATCTAGATGACCTTCATAGTAACGAATCCGCTCATATACCAGCCCATCAGGGGGCCGACGGTCGTTGGAGAATCGCTCGTTTAGCGACCGAAAAAATCGCTTCACAGTATCTGGGTTAGTGTCACGGTCGTCTAAATAGCATAATAATTAGCGATGATCTTTCACGTCTTTGTACACTAAAACTAACATACCGTCCTTATCCACTACGTAGACATCAGCGATCCACTATTGATTGTGAATACTAAGCCCACCAAGGGCGGCTCTGATGAGGCTCTCGTAGTCCTAGGCACGGAGCTGATAATCTGGATCAACATCTAGCCAGACATTGATACCATCGCGTGAACGTGGACGAACACGGGTGTTCTAGTCTGCTTTGGGTACGATGACGGGGACATGGTTATTTTATATTAATCGACGACAACCTTGAATTGTTATGATTCGTTTTATCCGGCAGGTGTTCTGACCACTGTCCATTCGTTTGCGAAAACTCTGTTCAAAAGAAAAATGTGCTATGTGGACTCTTGCAGATAACTGAAAGCGTCGCTGGCGATGAGCAAAGACATCCCGCTCCATTTCATCGATTTCAGACTGCTGATACATCGGGTGGATGTTTTAAATTTTCTGGCTGACCAATTCTCCAGCCTTTCTGTGTAGATAATAATGAGAAAACGTCTAAGACTCTACAAGATAGCGTTTCATGAAGCTTTATATCTCCAAATTGGCACCTCTTCAAAAAAGAATATTAAGGCTCCTCAAAACAACGTTCTTTGTTAAGAGAATTTCTAGTCATCAAATTTGAAATTGGTCGCACCAGACATTGCAGGTGCCTTATGACAGACCTCATTCAGCCTGATATTATCGAATTATAAGAGCCTCATTTCAGAATACCTATAATTTTACTTGAGGATGGAAAACGTAGTGTGAAGAACGCACTATGCTACAGTAGGCTAGACTCGTGTGTTTTGAGTCTAACAAGGTACTAAGAAACCTCAGCTTTTCCACCGCCATACCGTCGGAACTCGTATTTTCCTGCGGTTAACGGATATCTACGGACGAGAAATCTCACAGCGGAATCTCTCTTAGTACTTCTCATTACATAGTGTCCTGCAGTCGAGTCATGTGTAGCTTATATACGTTAGCTGAGCTTTCTAACAAGGCCTTGATCAAAACTTTTCTACGGCTAAACTCTCTATAACAGTAACAGTCTCATAGCATCTTTCAGAGCCATAATTGAATCAATCATGCTATTAACCTACCCGATGTTCTTTTAGTGTCAAATATTAACTTCATGCGCGGCGATGTTCCGTTTACTGATATCAGCCTAGGAGAACAAAAGAACTTGTTTTGATATGTTGTCACGATAATCAAACATTGGCCTCAAAACTATTTGCGGACCATCCGAATAATTTCCTCGTTGGCCGTCATTTCGGGCAATATCAAACGTTGACCTCATCGTTGATTCATCCTAGACACTGCACTTATTTTCACCTGTTTACATATTTAAACCACCAGTTAGTTAAGGATTTGATGTACCGGAACAAAGAGGTACCAGAAATTATTTTTTAGCATAGAAGTGCCATCAGACCGCTTTGATAGTGGCTGCTAGCAAGACCTAAAGTATTTGTAGGCCATCGAATCGTGTCAAAAGTTCTCCTTTTCCAAAATATCACCGTACCGTATACATCATTCTTTCCGCTTTGCAATATTCGTCTGTCGACCATACTATCCCATTTCTGGGTTCTCGCATAGTCCTTCCTGCAATCATGCTGTCGTGGCGAGTACTCCAACGCCACAGACGCGTCCCAGATCATGTTCAACTGGAACATCGCTTATATGAGTGCACCTCCTTCTGCATTGATATCCCTCAGACCTCCAACTTTCTTGGTGAAAAGGGTTCAATACCTGGGCAACGTTGGCGATCCATATGGTAGCAATATCATCGAAGTATCTGCCGAGGCCGCAAACCAGTACAAATATGTTGTCCGGTTCGAAGCTCCCAACAATGGACAGAGCTGGACTGTGGCGATATGGAATAGCTTGACTCCCGACGGACGTCTAGGAGGTTGGCTTGGCAACGCTTGCAGAACATTCACTCTGGGTCGTGGTCAAGTTCGGTATATAGCTTTTGATGACGACTCTCACGGTGGATGGGCTGCTGCTCCAGGTTCCTCCATTCCAGTTGACGGGGGCGGTAGGTATGCCGCAACATGGGGAGAGTTCAACTTTGGGTCTGTGATCAACTTCGGCAGATCGGCTTTCGTTGTTTCCACGATAGCTGCAGAGAAGGCGGGCTTGGAAGTCCAAGGTATGAGAATATGTGACGTCCGCACGGACACTTGCTCATCGGTTGATGCGAGAAACACGGCTGTCCATAATGCCTACACTATCACGACTGCCGGCAATGCTAAGATGGGAGGAACGATTCTTCCTGGTCCGGCAAGGCTTGCGGTCAGCATTGGTTATCATGGATTTTCAATGCCATAAAAGCGCAGTCAAGCTTGCCGGTGGTGCCAGGGCCAGCAATCATATCTTGATATTCCGCTAATTTGCCTAGAGTTTATCTAAGGTATACAAGTAAATCGCCTTTGACTTCCAAGAGGGAGAGGATTGGTACCCCCTGAGATGATGCCACACAATTATTACAGAGCGACCCAGTTAATCCCCCTCATGTTAGCGTCAGTTTCTCGGAAGTGCTCTGAAGAATTCCCAGATCGACGAGAAGATGGTGCGCAATGGCGACCTGATTCGCAGACAGGTGCCTCTTTTGGCTACCCGAGGCTACAGTATAGCAATTGGCTAAGGAATAACCATGTATCCAGCTAAAGTATCGTCATCATTCGTATAGCTTGTACGGAATGGCACTATGTACCGCTTTCTACCCGTTATCCATGCCCAAGAACGGTTGTTTGGATAGTGTCTCTCCTCGATGGACTCAGCATGCCAGGCCTAAACTGGTATAATCTAATAGTGAGCCGGGCGATGGGTAGGCCTCCACTTCAAATAAATAGCAATTTGATAGAGGGACATGGGTTACCTACTCCTCATTTGAGTTTGTTATGATATAAACATGTATGCCGTCCTTAAAGGCAGACTAGATCAAGTCATCGTAATGAACAACCCCGGGCCAGAGGACCACGTCAGGTAGAAAATCTCAATTTCCTCAATCTGCTAATTTTTTTTCATTAGCCAACACTGTCACTAGTTGAAGAGTATTATATCCGGTCACACAAGACTAAGATCCCTTCTACGTTAGTTCTCTATTCGAGTACGCATGGGAAAAGCTCGAGAGTAATAATCATCCACGCCGTTTGCCGTTCTTGAGCTAAATCTTTGGAATGTTAGAGATTTTTATCAAGCTTATCTTCCATGGAGCAACCCTCATCAGGTAACGCTAAGGAAACAGACAAGATGTTCCTAGAATCGGCAAGGCTCCTGGAGGCCTGCACGACGAATCCTGGTCTCCTTTCTTTATTCCCGGGGCCCAGCAGGTCTGCTCCTCAAGACAATCTACCATGCTCCTAGAAGCCGCATTGAATTCCTGGGGCCAATACCGGGCTTAGGAACTGTTAGAAAAGGGCCCGGGAATTCTTATTTTTCTGGCGCTTTCTAGAATGGTCCAGCGGGCGAGTTAGCCCTACACAGCACCAGCAAACAATCTTTATTGCGCTTCATGCTTAGTGAGAATAATCATAGTCAGTTCATCTCCCTTTGTACTGTAAACAGTATGCGGGTCACAGTGAAGAGAGGCAAAGAAATCCTCTATGGTGAGCCTTGTCCAAGGACGAGCAACTTCCTTCTCTCAGAGTAGAATCACTTGAACGACCGCAGTTCTGAATTCTTGGTTCAGCCAGCAGTAAGTGCAGCACCAAAGTGCATACATGTTGACTAAATGTTGAGCGGGCACCAGGAAAGCAGTGGCCGAACATGGTCACTGACGCTTATTGCACCACCAGCAAAGAGTATGCCCCGCCGTCAACGTTGATCATCAACTTCATACCACCAACAATCTTGTAGCGTTCGCGGGTCAAACCCGACAGGCAATCTCGAGTAAGTGAGTTACACTTGCTCCTCATCATTAGACTGTGGTTTCTCAATGATGAAAAAGATCACCGTTGCTCAACGTTTCAAATGAGACTTTTGAGTTTATTATGAAAGTCAGAATATAAAAACCGTCACCCTTCTCCAGTCAATTCTCTTCCCAAAACCAGCTCACTTTGAATCACTTACGCAACATTCAAGAATGACAACCAATCACGACACCGACACGAGCGAGGATGATAGCCTGATGGCCCAGGCGAACGAGCAGCTTAAACGCGAGCTGCTCCAGAGTCAGAAACTCACTCTCACTACATACCGAGCGCCCCGACGCGTGGTGTCTCTCGTCATCTCCCCCGGCTACGTCAAAGACTGGGTGCCAGCAGATGCTTTTCGGGAATTGTATCAAAATTGGTACGTGCCAGCCTCTTCCGCTGGACAAACGCTAATCAACGCAGGAAGGACGCCATCATAGAAAGATTCAATCTTGACCGTCAGAGCTTCCAGCCGTTGTTGGAAGACTACAGTGACCATCTCTCAATCACTGTTCCCGATCAAACCCTTGCCGACCAGCCAGCGGAGCGTGAGAATCGACGCGCACTGGGCTTCATTCAGTACGAAAAAAAGACCGGCAGAATCACGATCGTAAATCCATGCATGCAACTACCCATCAATGCTCTAGCTATGGGATTCTCAACCAAAGATGTCCACGGTGCCCACGACCATCTTGTGGGACGCCACGGCGAAGGTCTCAAGCTGGCGGTCCTGGTTCTCTCTCGAAATAGCTACAATGTGAGTATCGCCGCAAGTGGTTGCAATTGGAGGTTTGACATGCACACAGACGCATCGGTTTCTTGTACTGTCGCACCGTCTCAGAAAACCAAGTCGATCGAGTGGACCGATCCTGCCCTCGACATGGCAAGCCTCCGCTACCATGTGAGGAGGGACGTGGCAGTGGTGATCGGCGCGAGGCGGGCCAAGTCAGGCCGACCAGTCGCGCTAGACGCGTTTGTGAATTGGCTCCGCTTGACGACGATGGACATTCGCGGGCTCACCTACCCTGCCTACGGCGGTGCGTAGCGGCCATTCTCCAGTGCATAATTATTAAGCAAGATTTACTGGCAGAATTTACGACCAAGTCACGTTTCTCCACAATTAAACTATGTACTTTCGAAGTAGCCACATAATCTCTCATAAGGGCTTATCAAATTCACGTTTACAATAATCTATCTAACTCATAAGGGCTTAGTTATGAGGCAGAATTAAGGCTAGCTTAGGAGGGGGGAAGGGGGTGGAAAAGGGAAGAAATAATCCTAAACGGAGGTAGAGGAGGCCAAGTATTAAGGAGAGAGAATGATCA